GGATTTAGCTGTAAGTAAGAGTCCATTTTTAATTATCTATATAAAGTTAGAATGAATAAACTTGGATAGTCTGAAATCCTAGATAACAGTGATAAACTAAATCTTAAGATGGAACAGTTTCTATATCCCTTATAATGTAAATTTGAAGCAAATAATTTTAGGGAACTTCTACAATGTTATTTAGAATCAGACAATTTTGAGGCTTTTTGGGATGGGTAGTGCCTCATGGGTATCTAAACTTGATGTCAAATTTATATTATGCTATTTATTTACAAAAATGCCCATCTATATATTTTGTAATCAAAATAGGTTATAACCTATAACCTATAACCTTCCTTCCAGGTTATAACTTTGCCAGGAAACTAAAGAATTGACATCTGTTCATGTTTTTGTCAAGGTCTTGAGATTGGGCAGCGAAGGTAGAGGATTTTTTAAATGGAATGAAATGAGACAAAATAGGTTTTTCTTTTCTTTAGTAGACAATGTCTTGTTCTTTAGTTTATGAAGCGAAAACTGGGTTTCTTTTAGTAAAAGTCATTTAAAGAATAGGAAGTTTAGACACAGTGCACTCGCCGTGTCAGGGAAGCGGGGGATGGCGGGAGCCACAGCCTAGGCAGTCAGCACAGACGCGGACACAAGGGCCAAGACATGGCAGCATCCACCCTGAAGCTCTGAAGAAGAGCATGTCTGGAAATGCCACCCACTTTCAGATGTGATTGTCCAGAAAATGAGAGTTGAAGGCAGGAAATACTGTAAATCTATTTTAATTCCGATGCTTTAGGGACATACTGGCATGTTGGCTTTCAGCCTATGTAATTTCTGAGACTTCTGCTTTTGAATTATGGCTGTCTATAAAACTTCATGATTATGTGGAAAGATTAAGATATATTATGGTATTAACCTATATTTCTGCCTCTTGTTTGTTTTTTAGACTTGGGAAGATCCCCATCAAAAAGATAAGAGCACAAACTGCTGTGGAGATAATGATCCTATTGATGTTTGTGAAATAGGCTCAAAGGTTTGGTTTATAGACTGTATTAATTCTGACGTGTGTTTTGGTTTATTCATGCCATAAAATTTAATTTAGGCCTCTAGTTCTTCAGCTCTTCCAAGTTCAAGCCTATTGATTGGTCTGGTATCAGTCTCTTCTTTTATCTTTACTTCCTTCTCTTAAACCAGGGTTGGTAAATTACAGCCCCGCGACAGGTTGGATGCAGCCACCCACCTGCATCTATAGACGCGCAGCGGTGCCATTCACGCACACACTGTCCGAGGCCCGCTTTTGCACCGCGGCGGCGGAGGCGAGGAGTTACAGCAGAGAGCGTTTGTCTCAAAGCCTAAAATATTTATTGTCTGACCCTTTATAGAAGAAGTTTGCCAAGTTCTATCTTTAGCTTCCTTGCACATGATTCAGATAAAAGCTTCAGTACTCACGAAGGTCAACTAGGACTTTTTCTTTTTTTATACGTGTTTCTAGGATGCCAGGTGCTACTGGGGAGAGACAAAGCCCACAGTCTCGTAGGCCGATGCTGCCTGTCAGTTCTTCTGTGTGTGTTCGGGCAGGTCTTCTGTTTCAGCGCATTTCTTGCTGATATTTCTTGTCCTCCACAGACATCCAACTCTTCCCTTCTTGTTCTCACTCCTAGCGGAATGTCGTGTCTTTAATTTCGTGAAGCTCAAGAGAAACCAGCAAATGAGAACGGCCTCATCTTCCCCCTCAGACTTAGAAACTACTTGTGCCTATAAACGCTATTTCTTCCCTTCTGTTACTACGAGAGTTGTCTCTCTTCTCCAAGGCCAGGGTTTCCCCCGGTGCTCTAGATTCTGTCCCTTCTGACCTCTTGAATGATAGTTTCTTGTCCCTTCTCTTTCATCACTGGCTTCCTCCCGAATGCTACCTCTCCTCTTCCCCTTGGTGTGAAAACTTGTAAAGAGTTTCAGCATTCACCCCCGTGTCCTGCTTCCCACTGAATCCAACACACTGCAAAGTTGTTTCCATCTCCCCTGTTACTTCAATGAACCTGCTCTC